GAAACATCTACATAGACTAAAGCTTGTAGACAGTCCGGTCTGCCGAGGATGTGAATCGGCGGATGAAACTTCTCTGCATATCCTGGGTGAGTGCCCGGGATTTGCACGTAGCAGAATGGCGCTCCTTGGGAGACCCTATTTGGAACCCAAGGAGCTGAGAGAAGTGTCAGCAAGGAAGCTTTTGGACTTTGTAAAAAGGACAAATCTACTTGCTGAATAGGACTAGTAGTGGGACGCACAATAGGCCTAATTAGGCCGCAGTGCTATGGGACTTTTAAAGGACCAACCACTAGATGAAGAAGAAGAAGAAGACAATGAAGGCTGAACATATACAGAAGTATTATCATGAAACATTTATATTTTACGTATAACGTAATCGAGGCAAAAACAAGTTAGATGTGAAACAAAGAAGTCGTTATTGTAATGTCTGGCAATCAGGACAATACATATATTTTTAACATGAAATAAATAATGGGCAAACTTTAAGTATAATTATAAGAATTTTACCTTGGAAAAATATATGCCCTTGAGCATAAAGCAATGGAAGCTAAACTTACAAAGAATTATTATCATGAAACATCTATAAACATCACAATCATATAATATTACATAGAACAATTAACAATAAAGTACTTAAAGAATATTACCTGCTAACTAATACCGGTTAAACACTTAATTTTACACTACTTTGACACACTGCCCGCCGATCGTCTTACTACCGATCTCCACACTGTTCGCACTTCAACTGCCTATCTTCGACTATTTTGGCTTCATTCCAGAATTTCCTACCTAAGTGCCTGTTTTTTGTGCTTCTTTCTATCGACCGTTAATATTACTTTATCATTATTATACAACACCCATGCAACAGGTGACGTCGAAGTTGATAAGTACGGTTTTGCACACTGTTTTCTTTTTTGTTTGTTTTCAGTAAATGAATTTTGAAAGTTTGTCCCTATAGTTTCTCAGAATGATTTGCTTAATGGAATGTTATAAAATACGACAGTAATAAAGAATGACGTGTAGTTTTACGTCGAATTGGAAAACTTTCTTCTTGCCACTTTTAAACAACAAAAGTGGAACTAGCAACTTGTTTTTGTTTTTAACATTAAGTTGCAAAACTTTAATTTTATTTTCTTCTTAGTAATTTGGAGTATTTAGAGTCTAAATATCACTCTAGGTTCATTTTTCTTTAAAACACACCAAATTTTAACATTTTCTTGTTGGATGTCAATGAATGAACCTTCCAGGGTTCTACCACCTCTTTCGCTTCATAAACATTTTATCAACCATTTGAAAAACAACAAACAGTACCTACCTAGGGAAAGAAATCCGTATTTGCTCCTTTTTCATCCCTTTGACATAAGTTCATTAACACCCTTTATAAATATAATTTTCATATAGCTTTGTAGCACATTTAAGAAGAGATTACAACGATTTTAGCTTAACAGTAACAAATTCAATAGATTTGGTTTTTAAACATTGCACTTTTAATTTTCATGGTTTTATTTAACTTTCTGAAATTAAATTTTTAATCGTTTGAGATTTTGTTTTTCGGGGTTCAAATTAGGGATACGACAAGTGGAGAATTTAAAATAAATTCGTTCATAAAACGAGTTACTACATTTTAAACTGGAATCCGACTATAAAACTAAAAGATTGGTTTTATTGTATGCATATAAAATTCCCCCATGTATGATTTGGCACACCCGCAGCAATTCTTTGGTTGGCTGGTAGAAAGGATTACCTTTTGCAGGAACCGAGAATCTACAAACCGTACATGTAAAGGGACGGATTTTAAAATAAACGAATTAGAATGTTTGCAACCTTTTTCTAAACATTTGTAATTTTGAAACATACCTAAATTTTTCTGGACTCCTTTACCTCACAAATTATACCCGCAGCTAAAATAAATGTATACATTTAATGTTCACTCTGTATGATGTTGTAAAAGAGAAGAGGTTGATTATT